CTTTCTCTTCTTATTAAATATTTGTTAAAAATTAATATTTTTATACAAATAAATATTAATGTAAGTTAAATATTAAAAATACTAACTATAAAAGTATTTGGATAAATGCCCGGGGCTCCTTTCAGAGTTCAGAGTAGAGTAATTCCCCATGAGCGCCTCTGCCTCCCATAAAATGACTTGGTATTTAATTTTGCTGGAGTCAGAGTTGGCCTACTAAAATTATCAGGAGTCAGAGTTCAGTGTTTTTTACCAATACTGCAGCTCTGGTTTTCGCCACCTCCTCCTGTTTTCAAGCTAGCTGATGGGTATTGTACTTTTTACAGCATGCATGTGCTTGTTTGGAATTTTATGTATCAGTTCTACTTTCTATAGCTTTTGTATGGTCTTTATGAAGAGTATGAGCAATGTCTAGATATCTTCAAGCAGATGAAATACCAGAGTGCTAAAGTAAGTTTTGTTTGATGAAGAAAGTGATGAAATGGACATTTTTTATGTAAAAGATTTATCTGCAAACTTTATGCAAGCATTTGTAAATTAGATGCTGATGTTGATCTTCATAGCTGTTTGTATTTCACAACCTGATCATCCTTCAAGTTAAGAACTTAGATCATTTGTAAATTAGATGCTGATGTTGATCTTCATAGCTGTTTGTATTTCACAACCTGATCATCCTTCAAGTTAAGAACTTAGATCATTGAGGAAGTGATAGGAATAGATACAGAGAACTAGAGTATGATCTCAAACAAGGAAGTGTTTTACATACCATTTAATGTACTTATTATAACATTAAATTCACGTGTATATATTCCTAAATACGAAGGGTATTATATAACCATCACTCTATAATATTATATATTAATATTATAATATTGTATTATATAAACTGGGTACTTAATTATATAACACTCGCCAAATAAACCATCACCAGTTCATAACCAAACAGAAAAATTCTTTATACGAACGTTTTCATCTATATGTAATAGACATCCTCAGGTATTGACGATATTGAACTAACAGCTAGTAGAATTAGCTGTTAGTTCTAGTAGAAACGTTCTACTAGCCGTTAGTTCTACTAACGGCTAGTAGCCGTTTTTATGTATATTACATATAGATGAAAATGTTCGTAGAAAGAATTTTTCTATTTGGTTATGAACTGGTGATAGTTTTTTTGGTGAGTGTTATATAATTAAGTACCCAGTTTTTGAAATATATGAAGGGTATTTTTTAAATAAGGCTCGTTTTTTGATAAGAAGAAAAATACTGTAAATATAGTTAAAATATATTTTTTCCCATTTTCTACATAATTTCCATTTTTGTTCAAACATTTGTCATACCACTCAAAAATTTTTTAATTCCAACTTCAAAGAAGCCTGTTGCCAGAAGACATTAGGCCATGCGCTTATCTTTTATGGCATGGCAGAGTTTTCTCAAGGTCACAATAAGCATCAGAATTGATTGTTGTGCCTCTTGGCAGAAAATCCACTAACAAAGTCCCTTTCCTATCCCAAAAGACAGTTACCATAATCTTTCGTGCTGAAATCGAATAACAGATCATATACTAACAAAAAATAAAATTTAAGACTGCTCTTTATTAATAAAGAGACATTCTACATATTACATTTGTTTAAAAAAAACCAAAAGAACCTCACTAAGAAGCCAAAGGAGCTTGTTCTGCAAGCTCTTGACAGTCCTGTTTTAAGCAGGGCTGTGGAGTCGCGTAAAAATCTGATGACTCCTACTCTGACTAGGGGCGGACTTGTTACCGAAAAAGACCCAGAAATTCTGATGTCATCACGTGACCTCAGAATAAAAGATTCAATAAATAGAGTTCTAATAAAAATAGAACATAGAAACTTTTTATTCCAAAGCTAAAAGACTCCTCTAAGTAATATATAACTATGTATTCCATAATTGTTACTTTTCTTTCTGAAAGTGTAGCGCTCGGTCAAAAAATGACCCCTCCCAAATTTTTACACTTTTGGACTCAGAACATCTTGAAATTTCAACATATGCAAAATATTTGAGGTTTTTTTCTATATGTGTGGATGTTAGACTGTGTGTGTGGAGCATGATTTTGTTCACCCTGTTTGAAGCCTAATAATTTCTGTGGTCAGAGTGGTCAGAATCGGAATCAGATGGTTTAACACAGGAGTTAGTTATTAAGTGTCAAAGCAGTTGAACTAAATCATGTCTCTA